TGCCTTGGCTGAGAATGAAAAGCTTAAAAACAAGATTGATCAATGGGAGAAAGATTATGAGATTCTTGAGGAAAAGACTACAATTGAAGTGAGTTGGGCTATTTTAAATACCCGCCATGATACCCTGGTGGAAGCTAGCCAAGAGGGTTTTAACTTGGATGCTGAGTTAGCTAAGATAAGAGAGACTGTTGAAAAGACTCAACAAGGCCAAGACTTTCCCTCTCCCGTGGCTAATACTCCCGAGCACATTGAAGATGACATGGGTACAGTGAATGTTCCAACTCCTTCAAGCCAACTCGAACCTTCTGTTGCTAGTGATCCTGCTTTAGATCCTTCTTCATCCCCTTAGTGAAAAGTTTATGACATGTTACTTCTCTTTTTTTTCTTTTAGTGGAATGTGGTTTTAACCCTTGGTCCCATTTGGGGGTTTAGTTTTTGGAAATGACAAGTCTCCAGACCTTTTTGGGGCATTTTGTATAAATGACAAATAGTTTATGACTAAGTTCATACTTAGTCTAAACTTTTCAATATTAAGAAGTTTTCTGTTTTGACTTAGTTATTCTGAACTTCTGTTTTGCTCGTTCTTGCCTTTATATTCAAGGACTTGTTAGATAATTCATGGGTTTATACTTTACCCTTTTTTGCATTTTTGTTTCATAAAATACTTTCTTAACTTCATGAATGTTTGAATCAAACATGAATTTTATAAAAGAGGGCCCTTTTATATTCGACACTTAATGAAGAAGACGTCTAGACTTCATAATGGTGTAAATGTACGACAAAGAAATAGGAACACACATGTTTCTTGAAATAACTTTGATAAAGTTTTCATTTGAACTTTGTCAAGTTTAAATAACATCTTACATGTATTTAAATAACTTCTATAATTTTTTCGTAACTGTTTTCTTTACAATAGATTTCAAAAAAGGAAATAAAACCCAAGGTTTTTATTTATAACCTATTTCTATACATTGCCTTTAACCTAGATATCATAAGGTTTTCTTTTGATTGGCTTTATGTTATTGGCTCGTAACTTTGCTCTGCACTTGATTCATTCAATGGGTAGACTTTCGGGCTTTGACTTGAACTTTGATTATTTCTCAGTCTTCTTTGCCTTCTTTATACATATGTCCTATGTATATTATATAGTCCCCCAAGTATTTGAGCTTTGAAGTATGAAATCTCGAGCACTTGATTACTCCTCTCATTCGGTCCTTTTTCTGAAAAGGAAAAAACATATGGGACTCGGAGGTGCGATTATAGATGAAGACTGCTTAACCCGTTTGAATTTCTATCAGAATAGTTGTAACCCTAGATCGGGAATTTATACTTTTCCACGTGTCTTGTAGGTCGTGATTCATCATTTAGTATGGGCTAGCTTTTTGCCTATCATCTAAAATCGTTAGTAAAATTTCAACAATTCAAGAATAAAATTTTAAAATGAGGATACCTGACCGTGGATACTTATTTTCCTTAGAAATAGTATCTCTTCAGATGAATGACATTCCAATGTGAAGGTAATATCTTGCCATCTATTGTTTCCAGCTCGTATGCTCCTTTTCCTGCAATACCGTGAATCTTATAAGGTCATTCCCAAATTGGACTTAACTTTCCCGCATAGCTGCTCTCGTGGGTTGAAAAACCTTCTTGAGTATGAAGTCCCCAATTTTGAAGTATCTTAGGCGAGCTTTCCGATTATAATATCATTCCATGACTTATTTTTATGCTGCCATTCTTATTAATCCAGCTTCCCTTTTTCCTTCAAGTAAATCTAGGTTTATTCGCATTTCTTCTTCATTGGATTCATCAGTCGCTTGTGTATACCTCGTGCTTGGCTCCCCTATCTCAATTGAGATGAGTGTTTCAGCTCCGTACACCAGTGAAAATGGTGTTTCACCCGTACTTATTTTTGTTGTTGTGTGGTACGCCCATAAAACACCAGGTAGCAACTCTGGCCAATTGCCTTTGGATTCTTCCAATCGTTTCTTCAAATTGTTGACAATGACTTTATTCATCGATTCAGCTTGTCCATTACCCACCGGATGGTAAGACATTGAGGTAATCCTTTTGATCTGCCAACTTTAAAAAAATCTCTGATTTGTGCGCCTATAAAATGCGGGCCGTTATCACATACGATTTCCTTTGGTACGCCGAATTGACATATAATATTTCGCCAAATGAAATCTCTGACCTCTTTTTCACGTACCTGTTTAAAAGCACCTGCTTCTACCCATTTAGTAAAGTAATCAGTGAGTACTAGCAGAAATTTTACCTTGCCTTTTGCTTGTGGTAGTAGACCCACAATATCCATTCCCCACTTCATAAAAGGCCACGGTGCAATGAACGGATGTAACAACTCTGCGAGTCTATGCATATTGTTATCGAATCTTTGGCACTTAGCACATTTAGTCACAAAAATTTTCGTTTCTTCTTCCATCTTGGGCCAATAATAGCCGGCTCTAATCATGGTTTTTACTAAAGATCTTCCTCTTGGGTGATTTCTACAATGCACCTCGTGTATTTCTCTCATCACATACTCTGTTTGAGAAGGCCCGAGGCATCTTGCTAAAGGACCACCGAACATTTTACGATAAAGATTGCCTTGTTTTAAACAATACCGAGCGGCCTTTTTACGAAGCGTGTGAGGCCTTTTCTTATCTTTAGGGACGGTTCCATACTGCAAAAAAGTGACAATCTCGTTCCTCCAATCCCAGGTTAAGTTATTGAAATTTACCTCGTTCTTGTCATGATCAAGTACTGAATGAAACAAATGAATTACAAAAGCATTTTCGTTACTCGATACATCTGCCGCAGATGCGAGATTAGCTAAGGCGTCCACCTCGACATTTTCCTCTCTTGGTATCTACACAACTTTCCAGGTTTGGAATTTCCTAACCAGATCTCATGCCTTCTCTAAGTATTGATGCATTCGTGCTTCCCTAACTGTATAAGTCCCCAACATTTGATTAACTACGAGTTGCGAATCGTTTTTGATTACGATATGCTCTATTCCAAGTTCGCGTGCCAGTTCTAAACCTGCAATCACAGCTTCATACTCTACCTCATTGTTAGTTATAGGATGACATTTTATGGATTGTCGTATGGTTTCACCCGTAGGTGGTACCAAAACAATTCCTAGACCTGCCCCTTTCACATTTGATGAGCCATCAGTAAATAAGGTTCAAGTTCCTGGATTAGACCCTTGAATACTTGTAATTTTTTTTCTGCTTCTAGTTGCATCCCTTGGCTAAAATCGGCTAAAAAATCTGCTAACACCTGTGATTTTATTGCAGCTCTAGGTTGATATGTGATGACATATTCACTTAATTCTAGGCCCACTTGGCTAACCTACCTGATAACTCATGTTTGTGTAATATATTACGCAGTGGAAGTAGTTACTATATAGATAGGGTGGCATTGAAAATAAGGCCTTAGCTTTATAGATGGTATGATTAATGCAAGTGCAAGTTTTTCTAGCTGAGGCTACCGTGTCTCAGCATCTAATAATGACTTGATAACATAATAAATTGGAGACTGTTTACCTTGGTCTTCACGAACTAAGACAGCACTCACCGCTACTTCTAAAACAGCTGGGTAGATAAGCAACCTTTCCCCATCTTTTGGTTTTGCGAGCAACGATGGATTTGACAGGTATACCTTCAAGTTTTTGAGCGCTTGTTGACATTCCTCAGACCATTCGAACTGATCTTGCTTTTTAAGAGCTGAAAAGAACTTAAAGTATTTTTCTGATGATTTGGAAATAAATCTTCCCAAGGCTGCAATTCTTCCCGTCAGTCTCTGTACCTCTTTCTTACTTGTAAGCATATCAGGTATTTCCTTAATGGCTTTAATCTGCGCGGAATTTACCTCAATGTCACGGTTAGAAACAAGAAAATCCAAAAATTTACCTGATGAAACGCCAAATGCCATTTCTCAGGATTTAGCTTCATATTGAATTTTCGTAAGATCTGAAATGTATCAGTCAGGTGCTGTATATGATTCCCTGATTGTTGAGATTTGACAAGCATATCACCTATGTAGACTTTCATAGTTTTTCCTAAATGTTCTTGGAACATTTTGGTCACCAATCTTTGATACGTGGCACCAGCATTTTTTAGGCCAAATGGCATTAATTTGTAACAGTAAGTCTCCCTGTCTGTTATAAATGAAGTTTTTTCCTCATCTAGGGGATCCATTTTGATTTGATTATACTCTGAATATGCATCTAAAAAGCTTAACAATTCATGTCTTGCAGTAGCATCAATTAGTTGATCTATATGTGGTAACGGAAAAGAATCTTTAAGACAAGCTTTGTTAAGGTCGGTATAATCTACACAAACTTGCCATTTACTATTCTTTTTTGGTACTACTACAGTATTAGCTAATCAATTAGGATACTTTACCTCACGGATAGACCCAATTTTTAAAAGTTTTTGGACCTCATCTTGAATCACCTGATTTTTGAAAAATCCCTGCCTTCTCTTCTTTTGTTTGATAGGTGGATACGATGGATCTTCATTTAACTTGTGAGTCATTACTTCCGGGGGTATTCTTGTCATATCAGAATGGGACCAGGCAAAGCAATCCACGTTAGTTTTCAAAAATTCAATCAACTTGCCTTCCATTTCGTGGCTTAAGTTGGCCCAATGTAGACTTTCTTTTCAGGACATTGTGTGAATAGTTCTAAAGCCTCCAACTCTTCAATCGTCGTTTTGATATTTTTATTTTCTTCCGGTTCTTGGATGGAATCGGGCCTTGAGTCACATCTGTTCGCTCATGTTCAGTTGAGGCTTGTGTCATAGTATCCTCAACTGGATTCTATAATTGCTACTTTTCTTCATTTTTGTGCTTGAATCTGCTACAAAGTTGATGCTCCTGGATGTCTGTTGATCCCCACGGATTTGGCGTATTCCCCATAGTGATGCGAATTTAATAACTTGATGTAAGGTAGACGGCACAACATCCATTTCGTGAATCCACGGTCCTCCGAGAATCATATTTTAAGCCATTTCCATCTCTACCACCTGAAATTTTGTATCTCTGACAACTCCTACTGCGAATGTTATAAGTACTACTTCCCCTTTTGTCACGGCGCTTGAATTATCAAAGCCAGATAAAGTATGTGCCTTGGGTACTAGCTTATCTTCAGCTTGCATCTCGTTTAATACTCTTAGCAAAATGATGTTCACGGAACTACTTGGATCAATCAAAACTCGTTTCACATTAGTATCATGTACAAGTATAGATATTACCGGTGCATTGTTGTGTGGAGTTAACACGCCGTCCGTATCTGCATCATCAAATGTAATACTTTCTTCCTCCAAAACATGTCGTACCCGCTTTCCATGTGTAATTGTAACTTTTGAAATTTTCTTGGTTGTCATATATGTCATGCCGTTAATTTCTTCTCCTCCGCTTATAACGTTAATGGTCCTTTTTGGAAAAGGAGGTTTAGGGGGCTCCTGCCTGTTCTTCATGTATTCTTGCTTACCTTTCTCACTAAATAGCTCGGTAAGATATCTTTGCTTTAATAAATGGTCTACTTCACCCCGTAACAATCTACAATCTGTCGTTTTATGACCATGATCGTTATAAAATTTGCACCAGTGATCAGGATTACGACTATTTGGATTTGATCTTATTTTCTTTGGCCACCGCAACTTATCACTCATGCTTCTTAATACTGCTACTAACTCTGAAGTGCTGACATTAAAATTGTAACCACCAAATCTTGCCTTTAAGTTTCTATCATCATCTCGCGTCTCTCGTGCGTTTCGATCTTTTCCAAACCTTGATGATGAACCTGACTCTCTATCTCTCGATCTATGATCATACCTTGAATTGTCCTGCTTTGAACGCGAGTCTCTTCCTGCTGGGCCCATGTAGGGTTCATATCTATTTTTACCAAACCTTTTTTCGATTTCAGCACGTCTCGAACTCACCTTCTCCTCTTTTTAAGACCGGGAGATCATATCTTCTTCTATCCTGAGCTTCGTGTTGTATCTGTTGTAAACATCATTCCAGGTTGTTGCTGGAAATTCACGTAGACTTTCCTTGAATCGTCTCGTGGCTTCCGAGTTTTTCTCATTAAAATTACTGGCAAAAGCCATAGCTGCCCAGTTATCAGGTACGCGTGGTAACATCATCCTTTCACGTTGGAATCTATCTACGAAATCTCTAAGCAGCTCGGAATCTCCTTGATTTATTTTGAAAATATCTTCTATTCTTTTTTCAACTTTTTGAGCTCCCGAATGCACTTTGATAAATGAATCTGCAAGCTCAGCAAAAGAATTTATAGAATTTTCGGGTAAGAGAGAATACTATATTAATGCTCCCTTGGTGAGTGTTTCCCCGAATTTCTTGACCAATACTGATTCAGTTTCTTGTTTGGTTAAGTCGTTTCCCTTCACACCATTGTGAACGCAGTCACGTGGTCTCGTGGATCAGTTGTGCCATATATTTTGGAATATCGGGCATCTTGAACTTCTTCGAAATCGGCACAGGAGCAGCACTGGGCTTCCAAGGTTGTTATAAATATTTATCCATATCTATTCCCTTGATTACGGGCGGTACTCCAGATATTTGCTCTATGCGATCGCTTTGCTCCTTGAGTTGTTTCTGCAAGGTTAATACTAAATTTTGTAAATCAGAATTAACTATGTTACCTGGCTCACCATCACGAGACTCGCTGGGAGTTCCACCACTGCCTGAATTAACGAGCCCAGAACGCTGGTTTTCCAAAGTATTGTGATTCCGAGTTGGTGTTGGTGGTGCAACCGGTAACTGGATGGTAAAAGCCCGGAGAGTATTATTGACTTGTTGAGCAATTAATTTCTTCAGAGCATCGTCAAGTGCTTGTTCGTTCGCAACTCTGTCATTTTGATTTGCTTCAGATCCGTTTTGGTTCGCAACTCTGTTATTTGCTTCAGAGCCATCTGGAGTCCCCTCTCGTGACTTTCGCTGAGAATCATGCGGCGAAGGAGGTGGGGTCCTGTCATCCGCATCATTTACTTGATGTTGTGGATCTTGGAGTGGTAAATTGTGTTGATTATTGTCGTTGACATTCGACATGGTTGTTTTTTATGAAAGAATTGATTAAGAAAGCAAACGATTATCAGATTTCCGGTAACAGAACCAATTTGTTTAACCAAAAATTGGGATTTCGGCCAAAGCTTATTTTAGAAGAACTTGGGCTACTGATAATCAAATAGAAATAAGAATAATTGATATAAATAACAGCTGAATATACAGCAAAGTAAATCAGTATATTCCAATAGTATTTCGTGTCCTTACAAATGTTCAGTCTTCTCCTTTTATGGCTATCTCTACGTAATACGTTTTGTTCTCTCATAATAGAGACATAATCGGCAATTAATGGCATTTAAGTAACGTTACAATTGGTAATCATATTGATTTAATATAGATTCCATAACGTTTTCCATAATTAATGCCAATTAATTATCGATAACACGTATCTATACCGCTTTTTGCTATCCAGGTTCATTCTTCTGTTACGGCTTCCGAATATTAAGAGGTTCGAGCATCTATCCTTTCTGATTTTCTTAGATCTCTGCCCGCGTCTGTTGAAGCTCGTACCTATTCATCTATTATTTGCCAACTGTCATCCTTTGACTGGTACACGTGTCATGACGTGTCACTTTATAATAATTTTTCCCAATACAACCATTTCACTCACAACAACAACAACAACAACCCAGTATAATCCCACTTAGTGGGGTCTGGGGAGGGTAGTGTGTACCCAGACCTTACCCCTACCCTGGGGTAGAGAGGCTGTTTCCAAATAGACCCCCGGCATCGTTCCCTCCAAGAACTTCCCACCTTGCTCTCGGGGAGACGTCCATGGAAAATACGGAATCTTTGTTAGCGAAACTTGACGCATTCTTTTCTTTATTTTCTATCAGTAACTCAGAATAGAATAATCTTCGTTTCTAGAAAAGGAAAAGAATAAATAAAGAAATAATTGAATGTGCACTTTCGATTCATTATATAAAATGATAAAGGTTATTTTCTTCTCCTCCAAAAAATTCCAATTTTTCTGTTAGGATGTCTTCTTCCAATTGGCAAATTTTGTCCAATGCTATTACACCTACTTTATTAACACTACATATTCTACTTCTGGGCCCCATTGTCTTTATTTCTTCCCTTTATCTCCTCAGAAACAACAAGTGGATGTTTCAGGAGACAGTCTAGTAGGGCTGTGCATTTGGATCGGATATCCGAAATTCGATCCGATCCACTCTATTTCGGATTTTCGGATTTCAAATTTCGGATTTTCGGATTGGATACGGATTGTGTTTTATGAAATTTCGGATTGGATTCGGATTGGTATGATTTTAATCCGATCCGATCCGATATCCGAAATTATATGTACCTATATAAATACACACTAAAATTTTAGGGTTATGCTTATTCATTTTTCACACACCCCCTCACTCACTTAGATTTTTCTGCCTCTCTTGCACCTCTCTTCTCTTCAATGAAGACTAAAAGAGTCTCAATGACTCAAACTTCCGATTTTACTTTGATTTTATGTCTCTTTCTTCCGCCTCTCTTCTCTTCTCTTCTGTCTTTTATGTCTATTTCATGTTCTATTCTTCAACTTTTGATTTTATTTTGATTTTTTTGTTTGTTTTGGTAGATGGAAGATGAGATAGAGACACCGAATGAACTTTAAATTGTTGAAAAATTTTGTGACAATCCGATCCGACAATCCGAAAAATTATCTGATCCAAAGTTTAAAATCCGATCCAATCCAATGTTAATTCGGATCGGATTCGGATTGCCCTTTTCAGAATCCGAAATCTGAAATCCGAATCCGAAATAGGCTAAATCCGATCCAATCCGATCCGTGCACAGCCCTACAGTTTAGTGGCAAAAGTATCACATTTTGAATTTCCGTGCATGAGAGTGGAAAAGAACGAAAATTAATTTTTTATTTTATTTGTTAAAAGTTTGCTACAAAAATGATCTTGTCATTTCAAATGTAATATATATGCCTCCCACCCCCAAAGATGTGGTGAAGTAGATGTGACTGTCCTTCCCTTAATCAGAGGTTTTGAGGTTGAGTATGAAAAAATAGTTGGTAGGGAGCCTTCAATGGGACCCTATGCGGCACAAATCCGAATATAATTGTACTTCAATCCTAATACTGAACACCAGATGGGAAACCAATATATCTTTCTTCCTTATATGGTGATTTAAAATGATTAGTATAAATAAAATATGCCAACTGGAGATCCATGGGAGGCATATATATATTTCTTCCTTATTTTTTTTTTAAAAAAGGTCTAAATTTTCTCTTGAACTTTGTGAAATTAGTCATCAATCCTCTCCTTTATTTTATTTTATTTTATCTTTATCTAAGTAGGAAATCAATTTAATATAAAAGCATATTATTTGCATTGTATGACCCTTTTGAGGCGATTCTTTAAATTCTATTTTTATAAACTGAGTGGATTAAAATTAGCTTCTAAAAGTAGTTGCATGAACTTTTTTTATAATAAAAATTTAGTTCACCAGACTAACTAGGATGATATTCAAATATTCAACCTATTTAGAAAACATTTTCCCTACATAGGTAGGGGGGATACAACATTAGTGAAATGTCTTCATCTACAACCACTTGGGTTAACCTTTTCTGCCATTTGTGAATTACTTTAAAGTTTTCTTTTTCAAATATTTTTTTGTTGATAGAGTTGGCCTTGAATAGGGAAGGGAAGTATATAGAAATTAATAATGGAAAATGTTTCAAGCCATAAAATTTGTAGTAGTATTTCATTATTTCAAATAATGAAATTGATTATATACAACTTTAATATTCTTTTCCAACTTCAAATACTCTTCTTTTCAGCTTCTAACTAAATAAAAAAAATTGAAGTAACAACATTTTCTTAATTTGAAAAAAAAAGGAAAAAAAAATGAATAGTAACTGTATTAAATATGCAAATATTTTCCCTTTTCACTTCTAACAACTCTTATGACCAAACTTGAAGGAATAGGCCATATGTACGGAAAAAACACAGTCAAGGAAAGGGGGACCCTTAGTTATTTAATGTGTTTTTTTAACTTTCCCATAAAGTTGTGGAAATTATTTACTAGTTTAAATTAAAAGGCAGTATGATATGGGCTTTAGACAACGAACTTGACTTTGAATAGTAATTCTATTCTTTAAACAGTAAGAAAATAAAAAATAAAATATGATTCTGTTTCTGGACTTTTCTTTCTAATTCATGAAATATTCTCTAATTTCAAAAGAGAAAAAAACAAAAAAGTATTTACCAAAATACAATTTTTACTTTGGAATAGATTACTACTCCGATCGATAACTCCCTCATTACAAACTAGCGTATGTCCACAATAAACTCCATTATTCAGATTTTAAATTAATTAATCAACTAATTACGATATTTTTTTTACATTACTCTCGACCTACCGCAATCCTTCTCATTTATCATGCTTAATACTCCACCAATTATGCTTTGAAATGTTCATATGGGCAAATTTTAGGAACCACATAGAAACTAAAATGTGATCGATCTAATCAAAAGTTTATAATAAGACAGGATATACAACTCCTCCATTAAGTGTAGGATTCGAATATTAGTATATATCACTTAGCACCTTTCCATATTCTTCCTTTTTTTCTTAATAAAAAAGAAAAGAAAAAAGAATAAAACAACTAGGCCCAACGTGGAGTATTAGGTGAGTATTTTATGGAACAAAAAGTAATACTATAAATTAATTGGAGCAACAGCAAGTTGTACTTCCATAAATGCTATAAATATCATTATTATAGCATTTAAGACTTTTCTTTACCTCCCACCCTAAATATTGCAATATTACTAGAAGATTTATGTGGCAC